ACTCATAAAATATACAAAATGGGTGACCCTGGAGGACATTAAGCTGAGTAAAATATCTCAGTCAGAAAAGGACAAATAGTACATAATGCCACTGTTATAATATGGGACTGACATGGGTGTTGGAGGAAATGGAAAAAAAAGGGGGGGGGAATAGATAATGAACACTCCATTTAAATAGATGCATGAAAGGACCATCTAAAAGAAAGACATGATTAGGTATCATTTGCATAACAATAATCCAGAATAAGAGATACCTTATAAAATGAACTGGAGAGTTAAGGGAGGAAATTGTTCAATAATGAATGAATGGAAATCCATGTTTTCTGTAAACTTTCATTAAAATATCAATTAAAAAATTTAAAAAGAAAGTATTTTAAATATAAAAGAATTTTAATTGCATATACTTCCCCCCACCCCCACTGTTATATGGTGGGTATTTTATTTCCACTATGGGAACTGCACTATGGATATTGGCAGAATTTGAGATAAGGACCTTACAATGTTAGTCAAGATTTATAAATAATTCCAAATGAAACCATGCATCACTTTTAACATCACAAAACATGAACCAATAATAATACAATAGTCATGAAATATCAGAACATCAGCACATTGTACAGATTCTTCCCCTTATTTATCTGAGAGAAATGTTTTCATGTATGCATGAAAATTCATGTTCAATTAGGAATCAACGTTCAATACAGAATTGTATGAAACAGTGACAATGTGGAAATAACTAAGTGGGCAAAGTCCAATAGTGAATGATTTTATGAAATATAAGGTAGGAGAATGATTGTATGAAACATAATGTAAATAAAGAATAGTGTGAAGCAATGTATATGAATGAAAAAAGAATAAAGGAAAGAAATTTTAGCACATCTATATTACAAACTCTTCTTTGATTTTAACTTCTCTTTTCATTGTGTTGTGTCTGGTAGTTGAAAACCCCAGTTGGAGTCCTACTTTTCAGACTGAGTAACTAAAGTACCACTGCCCCCTGCTGCTAAAACATACAAATTACATGTTAAAATTGGAGAAGTGAGTAAGCCTCTTTACACAGCAAAATCAGTAAAGTTAAATTTATCAAGTAAATTACTACTCAACAGTGATATTTAACTTTTAGTGTCATTTCAGCATTTTCTACTCACAAAAATATTTCTGATTGGTCTTCATTATCTGATATAACTTATGTGCTTGAGAAAAATCTTTAAAACAAATAAAATAGAAATTTGAAATGTGCCTTTTCTTTTGATACCCACCAACTTTAAACTTTCATAATACGTAATAAATTTGTAGGGTATCAGAATTATTTAGTTGGAAAACGTTAACAGATAAAACTGGGATTTCTCTATCAGAACCAGGAAAGAGAAAACATTTAATGAAGAAATAATTGATGGAAACAAGGATGCCTATTGGTGTTTTATTGATTATACAAAGGCATTTGATTTGTGGATCACAAGAAATTATAGTTAAAATTGAGAATAATGAGAATCCAAAAACACTTGATTGTGCTCATGGGACACCTGTTCCTAGACAAGAAGTTATTGTATGAACAGAGCAAGAAAACCCTCTGCATGGTTCAAAATCAAGAAAGAAGTGTGTCAGAGATATATACTTTATTCATACGTTTTCAATCTATGTGTAGAATAGATCATTCAAGAGGCTAGACTTTATAAAGAAAAATGTGGCATCAGGATTGGAGGCAGACTCATCAACAAATTGTGTTATAAATATGACACAACCTTGCTCACTGAAACTGAGGAGGAAATGAAACATTTGTAGCAGTCTTCAACATGGGTTTTAGGTAAAGATCAAGAAAACAAAGATTCTCACCGTCAGGCCAGTAGGCACTATCATGATGGATGGAGAAAATACAGAGGATGTCAAAAGTTTTATCTTTCTTAGATCCATAGTCAGCATTATTGGCACCAGAAGTCAGGAAATCAAAAGACAAGTTGCTTAAGCAAAGTCTTCTGTCAGGAACCTATAGAAGAGTGCAAAAGACTAACGAAGTCAGCCTAGAGACTAACGTGAGCCTGATTCTGACTATGATCTTCTCAATTGCTTGCTATGGATCTGAGAATGACATGGAACTAAGGATGACAGAAGAAGAACCAATGCCTATGAGTTGTTGTACTGGAGGAAAATATTGAACACACCATGGACTGCCAGGAGAACAAACAGGTCTCCCCTGGAAAGGGTAAAAATGGGTTGCTCCTTAGAGGCAAGGATTTTGAAACTTCATCTCACATACTTAGGGCATATTGCCAGAAGGGATCAGTCCTTGCTTGTAATGTAGAGGGTCAGTGAAGGAGAGGAACATCCTTGATGAAACTGTGTCAAAAGAGGCAGGTGTATCAGAACAAGTGGGGTTGGCCCAGGATAGGGCTATATTCAGAGATATTGTTCATCGTGTTGTTATGAGTCATAGCTAATTTGATAGCACATAATAACAACAAAAACAACAACAACAACTCTTGATAATTAAAATTGTTAATACATTTATGAATTAAAGTTATTGATAATATTCTTTGATATATGTTGTTATTGTGTACTGTTGAGTCAGAATTGACTCATAGCTGACCTTCTGGAGGGTAAATAAGTGCTGCCAACCTAAAGGAAGGCAGTTCAAATCCACCAACTGTTCCATGGGAGAAAGACGGACAGTTTCCTCCAATGCAACTTACTGTCATTTTGATATTTAGATATTTGTTATTATTAAATTCAGATTGTTTTTCATAACTAAACAGAAACTGTTTAAAACATGAAGAGAAGAAAATGTTTTTTCTTGAAGCAGGTTTAGAAATAAATCTGTATTTAGAAATAAATCAGTGATGTTGGCTTAGGATAGGGTAAGTTTCAGAGCCATTATTCACAGGGTTGCTATGGTTAGTAGTTGACTCGATGGCACATAACAAGTTAGACTCTCTATGTTGTCTGCAAAAGGAGGTGATATACAATATGCTTTCTTACTCTGCTTTTAGGAAATTCAGTCTCTTAAAACCAAATCTATCATCTAGTTGATTGCAACACATAGCAACACTATAGAACAGAGTGGGACTGCCACATAGAATTCCTTTAGATGTGAGGACTGACATACCTTCCTCCTAGCGAGTGCCTGGCAAGTTCAAATCACCTGTCTGCCAGGTAGCAGAAACTGCTTAACCACTGTGCCAGCAGACACCTTCCTGTCTCTTGCTCAGTTATAAAATAAAATTATCTACCAAACATTTAAAACATAATAGACTTGGCTTTACTGAGCCCAAATCGCTTTGATTTGGTTTTGTCCTATGAACTAGCCATATAGGGAAAAAAAAGTAGGATCTTAAGTAAATGCTACCTTCTGAAAAATAACTGCTAGCTCATAATAGACTCCAAGTGCTCAGGCTTGTTTTACTAGGAGTCAATAAGAATCAAACACGGTTCAACATGATTTTAAAATTGGACATCATTCCTCATAAGATTCATGTGGCAACTCCTCAGCAAAACAGCTTGACAATCTTCAAGAAGGTTTACAAGTAAAGGTTTTATGTCCTTCAAAAATACATGTTAACAAGGAGGATGCTCATAAATGAAATACATAAGAATTAGCAATATGTTACCCACAACCATCCTATTATTTGGAGCTTTTGTAGCTTCTATTAAAGATAGTTTCTAATGGATTTGTGTGGCAACATTCTTGAATGACATATGGTGAATTTTAAGAGATTATAGCATTTCAACTTAGTGTTGTAACATCATGCATTCTAAAGGCCAAAAATACCTCAATCAATACATGGTTGTGACTTTAAGTACTTTTCTTTTTTCTTTTGACAAAGCTTGTGCCACTAGGGAGGAGTTTATAATCAGAGGACTTAAAGAGTCTCTTATGATGCAATCAGAACAATAGTTAAAGCATGAGACACTGATGAAAAGAATTCATATGTGCATCAAGGGAGCCTACTAGCTTTGAAGAGACAATGCATTCCTTTGCAAACAACAAAGCCAACAAAAAACATAGGCAGTGAGTCTCTGGATTCCTTTATATGCATTTTATTAGAAAAATAATGGGGCTACTTATGCAAATTAGTAGGAAGCTGTCCAGTCAGGTGAGCTATGCCCACCAACTTGAGGTATAAAAAACCCCATGCAGAAGGAGATCTTCATTCACACTTCGGTAACTTGCTCTTTGCAATACCTCCAAACCCTTTACAACTCCTGCCATCATGACTCGTTTCTTCTGCTGTGGAAGCTACTTCCCAGGCTATCCTTGCTATGGAACCAACTTCCACAGGACCTTCAGAGCCACCCCCTTGAATTGCGTCGTGCCCTTGGGCTCTCCCCTGAACTATGGTTGTGGATGCAATGGTTACAGCTCCCTGGGCTACAGCTTTGGGGGCAGCAACATCGGCCACCTGGGTTGTGGCTACGGTGGCAGCTTCTACAGGCCATGGGGCTCTGGCTCTGGCTTTGGCTACAGCACCTACTAATCCTCCCTTGGCTTCAGGCGACTACAGGACTTCATGGCTACAGGACTCTTGATCAATTCCCAGTGCACGGAACAACCTGAAGAACAATGACTGTATTTCTGCTTCCTGGTGCACTAGGGAGCTACATCTTCTACATTCTTGCTTTCTTCTTCAGTGGTCCTGACCTTTGATAGTGCTGAAACAAACCACACAAGCTTCAAATATGGAAATGATCCGCATTTATAGACTTGAATAGCAAGACATATTTCCCTGATAAACCTGAATTTTAGTGACAAAGCCGGTAGTTTGCTTCTCAAAGTTGCTCTGCTTATATAGTGTTAACGTCTATGTTACTGTATGACTACTTTGGTGTGGGTAAAATGGGACTTTGCTGTCAGCCTCCTAATAAACTTATTTCATTCAGCATAAGTTATGTTTTTGTTCTGATTCTTTATTTCACTGGATTATTACGTTCTTGAACTCAGTAAATTAGTTTCAATATGTCAAAGTGGTTGATTTTAACCAAAAGTTTTATTTGTTTGTTCTTCATTTTTGCTTGTTTTTTTCTTTGTAATCTCAGACTACACAATAAGGAGAGGGCAATGCCTAAACAAATTGAACCCAAATAGTACAATAATTGTTGGTTTTCTGGGATTAAAACAATTTTTTTGCTGTTGAATGCTAAAAAGATTTCTTTATATTTAATTATAAATTTGATTTTTTTATATTGGTAAATATTTAATTATAAACAGAATAACAAATCTATTGTTGTTGAGTTTATTCCAACTCCAAACAACCTTACAGGACTTCCCTAACAGGGTTTCCAAGGCTTCCATCTTTATGGAAACAGAATGTTACAAACCTTTATCCTCTGGGAGTGTGGCTGGTTGATCAATCTACATGCCAGCAGTCAGTTAACTGACTACTACGCCACTGGGGTTCCTTCTTCCTTTTATTGGTTTATTTGTTTTACCTTCAGTTCTAGTAGAATTTGGACCCAGCTTAATGTTGGGCTGTTTGTTTTCTTTAGTGGCCAGTCCCAGGAGAAAGGCATCATGCTAATGGAGAGGGTTTGTGAAAAGAGGAAAAGCTCAGTGAGATGGACTGATGACACAGAAGTTTCAGTAAAGAGTTGAAGCACAAATGTGTTTCTTCTGCTTTGCGTACGTTCACTAGGAGTTGGAACTGACTGCAGAGCAACAACAAACCACAACAATGAAACCCTATTTTTGGATAATTAATGTGTTATGGATGATTTTCCAAGGAAAGTTACTTCTTACTAATTTATTTTTTAAAAAAATTTGCTTTGCAAGCAGGTATGATGTAGTAAGATATAAGTATACTCATTTATTTCTAAAAACTCAATGTTCTGAGTCCATACCTATTATAAAACAGTAAGCTTGTTTACTCATAATAAAAATTAGTTCTCTTCATTGGCTTAACTAGAAGAGTAGTTTGGAGATATAAACATGACCATGAGAGGCCCCAAGAACTACATATTACAAAACCAAAATGAACCATCATTGACAAAGCTCAGAAATATGAGGTAAGATGATTTGTGGAGCTGCTCAAGTGCTGCTAAACATCAAGGACATAAAGGTTCTAACCAAAGGGCCAACTGGCGGCTTCATGACACATGGAGAAGAGATTGAGTTTCACAATTTCAACTTGCTTGATTCCACAATAAACACTCTTGACACTTGAAATCAGAAGATGAGTTACACTGAAAAAAAACTGCTGTCGGGGATCTTTCCAGAGTGCTGAAATGCAAGGATGTCAATCTGGAGACTAAGATGTGCCTGATCCAGGTCATGGTCTTTGCAATTACTTGTTATGCATCAGAGAGCAGGACAATGGATAAGGACAATCGAAGAAGAATCAGTGCCTTTGTGTTGTGATTCCAGAAGAGAGTATTGAACACACCTTTGACTGCCAAGAGAACAAACAAGTCTGTTCTGGAGATGGTGAAATCAAGCTGCTCCTTGGAGGCAAGAATTTTGAAGCTCTACCTCACATGTCTTGGACATGTTACCTAGGGTGACTGGTTCTTGGAGAAGGATGTCATGCTTGGAAGGGTGGAGGGATGGTACAGGAAAGGAAGACCTGGATGAGATGGATTGATGCAATCACTGGAGTAATGGGGGCAGAAATGTCAGAGACAGTGAGATTGATTCAAGATAGGACAGAGTTCCGAGCTATAGTGTATATAAGAACAATAACAACAACTAACCCTAGTCAGAATACTCTTAGAAGCAAGGGTGGTGAGAATTAGTATCATATATCTTAAACACCTTACGAAGAGAAATCAGTCCCTTAAGAAGGATGTCATGCTTGGATAATTATAGGATCTGAAAATAGGAAGACTGTGAAAGAGGTGTATTGAAACCATGACTGCAATTATTGACTTAAATAGAGCATCATTTCTGAGGATGGCAGAGGAGCAAGCTATGCTCTCTTCTGTTGTGTATGATGTCTGTATGAGCCAGGGCTGACTTGATGGCATCCACCAAAATTCAGAGCCCTGAAGTGTAGAGTCTATCTTTATGGCTAGCATTCATGCTCTTCTAAAACCGTCTCTCTCACACACACACACACACACACACACACACACACACACACACACACACACACACACACACACAACACACACACACACACACACATTGTTGCTGTTAAAATGGATTTGTGTGAGTATGACTCACAGTGATTCTATGAGCAGCAGATCTGAATCATGTCCTGTCCTGTGCCATCCCCATCATCTCTGACATACTTGAGCTCATTTTTGAAGTTACTGTGTCAATTATCATGTTGATTGACCCTCTGTTTTCCAAGCATGATGCCCCTTTCCAAGGTATAGCCTTTTCTATTGACATGCCAAAGTATGTGAGATGAAGCTTTGCTATCCTTATCTCCTAGTAACATTCAGCTGCATTTTGTCCAAGATATATCTGTTCTTTTGGCAGTTCATAGTATGCTCAGTACTTTTCTCCAACAATGTATCTCAAAGTCATCAATTCTTCTTATATCATTCTTATTCATTGTCCAACTCTCAGATGCATAACAAGTGATTGAAAAGATCTGAAACAGGTGCATCTTAGTCTCCAAACCGACATCATTGCTAGTCAGTAATTTGGAAAGGCCCCTGACTGCATAATTTCCCAATGCAATATGTCTCCTGATCTCCTGACTGCTTGTATCAAGAATGCTTTTTTAAAAAATTTAACATTTTATTTTTCTATTTTTCTACTAGTTTATTAATCTTGATTGCATGTTTGATGAATCTCTGACTGCAAAAGTTGGTAGAAATATTCTATTTCCTCCTCTTTGGTAATCATTGTTGGTACATAGATTTGAATGATAGTAGTATTCACTTGACTTTCTTGTATGTGTATGAATGTTGTACAGTCACTCACCACATTGTATTTCAAGATGGATCTAGAAAAGACATTTTTAACCTTGAAAGCAACCCCATTTTTCCTTACCTTTTTGTCTCCAGCATAGTAGATCATAAGGTCCTCTGACTCAAAATGTCCCATGCCAGTCCATCTCATTTTGCCAATTCTAATATTTATGCATTCCATTTCCTTCTTAACAATATCCAATTTTCCTACACTCATGGTTCTTACATTCCATGTTCCAATCACTAGTGTCTGCTTACAGCTGTTCTTCCTTCTACTTTTTCCCATACTTGAGGGCTCAGCCTCAGTTGACATACCTGCTAGTCTAAGTGTGCTCTGTTCCACAAAGAGTTTTCAAAGTCCTGCTGTTTTGGAAGTGGATGGTCAATCCTTCTTCCTAGTTTGTCTTAATTAGATAGCTTAGATTTCTAACATTATCTGACAGAAAAGCATTTTATAGAGAAGAGCAGATTAAAGATATTTCTCATTATTAGAAAAACCCTGATAGATTCTGTGTTGTCCCCACGCTTGCCAGATGAGTTTTGAGTCACCCCTTGGCCTGCTCCACCATCATTTACATCTATTCCCACCTACTCCATTCAACAATAATTTGATGTGATATGTCAAGCTTTCTGGCTTCTGTGATTCCTAATGTCTCAAGCTGCTGCCA